TATTAATGAAAACAGCTAGAAAACGGTTTTACTAAACCGGTTTTCTGAATTACGTTATCACATTCTAACCCAAAACAAAGACAAAAGAAAAAAAATATATATTTAAATGAAAACAGTTTTAGTAAAGCCAAAACAAATTTCTGAATAACACATTCTAACTCAAAACAAAGACAAAAGAAAAAAAAAAATTTACATGAAAACGGCTTTAGTAAAGCCAAAAGAAATTTCTGAATTACATTATCACCTTCTAACCCAAAATAAAGACAAAAGAAAAAACAAAAGCAATTTACATGAAAACGACTTTAATATAGTCAAAAAAAATTTCTGAATTACACATTCTAATCCAAAACAAAGACAAAAGAAAAAAAAAATTAACATGAGAACGGCTTTAGTAAAGCCAAAAAAAAATTCTGAATTAAATTATCACTAAAACAAAGACAACAGAAAAGAAAAAAAAAATACATGAACAGCAAAAGCGTGGTTATTATTCACGCTTTTTTTGGTGAGTAAAAGCGTGGTTCATAACCACGTTTTAAGAAGAAATTTTTTTTTAGTTAAAAGCGTGGTTCACAATCACGTTTTCAAAAGAAATTTTTTTTTACTTAAAAGCGTAATTCATAACCTCGTTTTCAGGGGAAAAAATTCAGTTAAAAGCGTAATTCACAACCACACTTTCAGAGAAAAAAAAAATTAAGTAATTAAAAGCGTGGTCAAACCACGCTTTCTTAATTAAAACGTTGTTTGAAAACACACTTTTACGATTTCGGGAAGTTTTCACGCGATAGTCACAAAAACGTTAAAAGCGTGGTTGTGAACTACGTTTTAGTCTAATTTGAGAATTCCGTCCAAACTAGACCCAATGTGAGAAATAGATTGCTAATTTGACATAATCTTGGAAAAGCCCCAATTGTTTTCATTGGAACTCTATGGTTTGGAATCGGAGCTTTGTGGAATGGCCGAGCACGATGAGTCCGATTCCAAAGGCAAGTCGTTCATGGAGACGATCATTGAAAAGTTTCATGACGACAATTCGTTATCGTCTTCTTTCGAATCGAATTCCGATAATAATTCCAAGTCTTCTACATATTATGTGAAGACCACCACCACACATATTTTGATTGGTCATCAACGAAGAAGATGAACGACCGATGGCTTTGGTTGAGATCCGCGTGGATCCAGAGGATTAGGGTTTCTCTCCTTCGTAAGAATCACTTACTTCATCTCCGGCACTGACAACAACGGCCTTAGAATTTTCCAACTCCTCAAAGCCATTTTACCACCCTAGAAACCTCTATTTGTTGCATCTTGACCGTCGATCATCCAAGGATCAAAGGTATGAGCTCGCTTGGACGGTCCAAGATCTGAGGGTTTCACACCAGATTTGAACTAGATTTATAAGTTTTAAAGGGTTCCAAATTAGATCAGAGGAACCAAGTCATGATTCCCTTGTTTAATTCCACTAGGGATTTTCTTGTCTTAAATATATATATATATTTTTTTAGCTCAAATTTGTTGTTGTTGTTGTTGTTTTTAATGATGATGAGGAAACAAATTGCAATAAATTAAAAAAAAAAATTTGACGAATAGGACAGATAATAAAAAATGTTCAAAATTTAAATAGATAAAAAATTTTAAACAGATAAATATTTCAACAAATAGATTTAAGGAAAATGACTTAGACCCTCAGTTGGGGGTGTTGGGGTCGTCCCTGATTGGTGCAAAAATAGTTTTTTTTTTTTTTTTTGGATTTCAGCCAACCACACGCTGTCACGTCACTGAGGGTGCCACTGGGGGTCGGAAGCAATGCCCTAGATTTAAATAGGTAAGTGGAAAAATTGCATAGATAATAAAATTTAGACAGATATTTGAACAAATAAGGAATTTCAGCGAATAGATATTCCAACAGACAGACTCAAATTTGATAGATAGTCAAAAAAATTAAACAGATAAAAAAAATTTGAACAGATAGTCAAAAAATAAAATAGATAAAATATTTGAACAAATAGTTAAAAAATTAAATGATAGATTAAGGAGTAAATTTGAAAACAAAATGTCCTTCAAAATGATAAATAGACTTCTCACCAAATTATTTCACAAAGGGTGAATCTCTCACCAATAAAAAAAAAATTCAATGAACCTAATGCCTTTGACAATTGTTAGATTGAACTTTTCAACAATTTTCTTATAAAATTATGATTTATCTGTAATTTTTTAGAAGTGTGCACTGCACTAAAATTTCCTCCCAAAAAAATCCAATCTCACTACTTATGCTTGTTTATAATTACAAAATAAAATCTCACTAATTATTGTTATTTATGGTTACAAAGTAAAGATTATATATACAGCCGTTTTTATAATACTGTGAATTTTATAATAATTGTAAAAATTTTAAATATTCACATTTTCAATGAATATAATAGTGTTAATTTTTTGAAAGTGCAAATATTAACAATTTCAATAAATTAAAATAATATGAATTTTCAGAAAAGTGTAAATATTTTTTTAGAAAAATATGAATATTTACAGTAACTTTTATACCTTGCAAAAAGTCCTAATATTTTATTAATTAAAAGTGTGAATATTTATATTTTATAATTTTCACATTTATTAAAAAATTAACACTATATATATATATATATATAAATAGATATAAATGCGAAGAGGAGGGGTCGCATGACAAAAAATATTTCTCAAAAGTGTGAAGTTTAAAAATAGAAAATTTTCATAGTTTCAATCTAAAAAAATTGTAATTTTTTTTTTCGTTTTATATAATTTTATATTCAATTGAGATCTTGTGTTGATAGATCTTGTCGAGTAGTTTTTAAAAATTAAAATTTTATCAAAAATAGATATGTGTTTTAAAGTTTATAGAATATTTTAAAGTTTTGAAGGGAAAAAACAAAAAGTCATATAAGCTTGTTGACCAAAATAAGAGTAAAATTGTCATAAAAATATCTAATTTTAAAAAAATAATCTCCTAAAATACAATTCCAAACATAACGGAATCACAATTATTTCTGCACAATCTAAGAGTGTTCAAATTATCCAATCAACTGAAGAATCGAACTGAACCAACTTTGTTAGTGAAAATTATGTTAAAGCCTGTGTTGACAGAAACTCAAACATACATTTATGGATTGGGTTGGTTTAATTTTTAAGTACATTGATTTGGTTCTAGGTCTTCAAATCATCAAATCAATAGGATTGTCATTTGGCAAAAAAATATTTAATTAACTTTTTGGAGTTGGGACTTTTTTAGCTTGGAACTAAAAAATTCGTTTGACAATTTTTTTTTTTTTTTTTTTTTTGATTTTTATGAGAGGAAAAGTAAAATAATCATGGTTTGAATGTTGTCTTATTAACTTATTTAACCTATTTTCTCTTTTGTGCTTTTTTAGTCTCAACTAGTTTTGTCAAACGAAGCCAGGATTGAGTTAGTTCTTAGTTTAAGCCTTGCCTAATCCAAACCAACTCAAGAACCGAACATATTTATTATATATAGTGACTTTGGTTTAAACCCAACCCGTTTATTGTCTTGGATCCTGGTTTTCTTGTCTTGATAGTTGTTCATGCCTTCTTCCACTTTATTCCTTGTTGAGTTTGACTATTGGAGCGTCTTGGTTGTGTTTGAAACGGATTAGGAGTTCGTTTTTTCAAAGAGTTGATTGCCTAGAATTTTGCTTGTTCACTTGAGTGACACTTCTTGCACTCAAGCTGTCTTTTACAGTCTGCAACCTACTGAGAATTTGATATCTACACTTAAGCAACGCTTCTTGAACTCAAGCGAACTTTTGCAGGTCTGAACTACTGGAAGGAGTGCATTGTGCGCTCGAGCGACTATTCTTGTGCTCAAACAGTATCTTCGTTGTGTCTGGTTGCTCGAGCAACCATTCCTATGCTCAAGTGATCTACGCGTATATCAGTCTAAAAGGGGTCACTTTTGAGTCATTTTCTCATCTCACTCTCTCTTTAAAACACTCAAAGACCTAGATCTACTTACTCTTTCTCTCTAGAAACCATCTCTAAACCTCAAATATATCTTGATTCATTAATTTCTACACCATAGTCCCTTTGAGAAAAAAGTAGAGCTCATCTAGAGCTTCGTTTTGATTGGAACAAAGTTGATTTTCGGCTTCGTCAAAGTTTCTTCACTCTTTCTCTTGTCTTCTAGCTTTGAGGTAGGGATTACTGTGACAATCCCATCACGTATAATGATTAACACTTAATTAATTAAGGAGATTTGAAATTTAATTGCCAATTATTCTAATTTAATCTGTCATTTATAAAAAAAATAATTATGGAGGCTGATTCATATGTGATTCTACTAAGGATTTATTTTAGAATTAAAAATTGAAAGCCTAAATGGCTCAAGATAGTACAAATGGTGACTTGAATTATTTTAATTTCGAGTATCGGACTGTATGGGAGTTTAATTAACTATTCGATTTAGATTTGTAAAATTGAGATTTGACTAATTGGGTTCGAGTTGGAATTAATTAAGCTAATTTGATTATGAAGATTGAGAATTGTGGTCATTCCGAATTAAATTTAATGGAGAGGTGTTTAATTGAATATATAATTTATTGGTGGAGATTTTGAGTTTGATCTGAAATTGAAGGCATTAAAAATTTGGAAAACCAAAATTGATGATGGCAATAAGTTTGTTTGATATTTGGAACCTTTTGGGAGTTTGATTAAAAATCTGATTTAGATTGATAAATTTAATTGTAATTAATTGGGCATTAATTGAAGTCAATTGGACTAATTAAATTATGTGGGATCTATGATTAGTTTAATTATCTATTAATCAAGATTTATTAAGAATAAGAGTTATTTAATTAAATTAGTCGTAACCATAAATTAAACTGTAGAATGATTTAGAGTTTGAGAATATATGTGGGCGTGTGTGTGCTGAGAAGCATGTGGGTGTGCTGAGAAGTCTAAGTGTGTGTATATAAGTGTTGTACTGGAGGCTACGTGTGCTTTTGAAATGTCAAGAAGTGAACATGTATGTGATGTGTTGATAAGGCTTAAGTCAGCAAGTGTGTATGTATTCTCCCATTTGTTCTGCTTGGCTGGGAAAGGGAGTAAGAGAAAATGTGAGGTCAAGAGTGGAGAGAAAGAGAGAATAACTGAGAGAGAGAGAGAAGCAAAATTCAGTCCAAGAAGAAAAACTAAGGGAAGAAAAGTTAGGAGGAACAAGGGAATTAGAAAGGAATTAACTAAACTTCTTGAGATTAAAGTTCAAGGTATGAAATTATACTCTTTTTTTTTTTGTTTTTTTTTGTAGAATCTTTACATTACACTTGAAATTAAAGATGAAATATGAATCAAAATCATATAATTGAAAGGAATTAGCAAGAAGATGAAGAAAAATGGAGTTAAGTTTTAGATTATGGAACTAAATTTGGAAATTAATTAGTTTGAGTTTTATTTTTGTCATCCTTCATAATTTGAAGTCTAACCTTACATGCATTGTGGATTGTTAAGATTTTAGACTTTAATTCATATTTTAAAAGTTTATGGACTTAAATTAGGATTGATATGAAGAAAGTAATAAAAATCTAAATTAGAGCAATTCAAGAAGTAAAATTATGATTTGAAAATAAAAAATAGTTAGTTTTGATCTTAATTTCATATATGCAAATGATTATCTAAGAAGTTTGTAATTTTAATTTCATGTCTTGAAGGAAGATAGAAAAGAGTTTGAAGTCAATTTTATGTAAACAAAAATAAATTAGCAAGAAAATGAGTTAGGTTCATGATTATGGAAATTAACTTAGAAATTAATTATTTTGAGTTTAGTTTTGAATATCTTATATGAATTTGAATCATATTGTTACATGCATGTAATCTAGAGAAATTAAAGAATTAATTCATGAACATAGTTAAGGTTAATCAATATGGAAATAATTACATGCACACTGAAGTTTTTAAGAATTGAGTCATGCAATTTCATATTTTGAAAAGAAGGAAGAATTTTATAAAAATCAAGTTTATGGAAATTTGGGGTTAATCCCAAAGTTAGACAAAGTTTTGATTTTATTATGAAAATTAGGAATTTGTTTGATTTTGATTTTTAATCCATTCATGTAATTTAATTTAAAAGTGTTGTTCAATTCAAATATATTTTGGAACATCTATGATCATAAATTAAGTACTTAGTTCAAGATGGAGTTAATAAGTTTAAATTCTAAGAAATTAATTTTGCTATAAAGAAAATGAATTAAATCTAAGTTGGACAAATTAGGGAATGAATTATAATTTTACCTAGAGAATCAAAAATTAGTTTGATTTTGATTTAAATTTCATTCATTCAAACATTTTTGGAAGGGCTTTATAAATTCAATTTTAAGTTTCATTAAACAAAGAAAGAATTGAAAGATGATTTTCAAACATGAAATTCAAGGTTTAAATTTGAATTAAAATCATGAAATTAACTTTAAATATATGAATTGGGAATGTTTTTGCATATTCGAGTGAGTCAAGCATGAATTTGGAGCATTGGTAATGTGTTTTGAAATTTAAACAACATTCTGGAAAACCTAGAATTTGTCATCATCGCTCGAGCGAAGAAGTTGTTGCTCGATCGTAGAATGCAAACAACCAGTATTTTTGCAGACCAAGGGGTCCGCTCGAGCAACCAATGTTGCGCTCAAGCAAAGAGTCTTGTTTCAGAAAATTTTGAAAAATAGTTTCATATTTCAATTTCCGTTCTCTTTCACTTCCAAGTGTTCTTAAGCAAGAATTATGACTCAACAAGATTAATAAACTACCAATCAACATAAATTAGTTGGTTAAAGAATAAGTCATTAACTTAGTAATAATTGATTAAGAAGCCAAGTAAGAAACTGGTTTATTTAGAAAAGAATAATTTAGTAATGAAAGAATATGTGAAATGAGAACCCGATTCATTTGAATAAAAAAAGAATAAGCGTAGTAGACCTTTGGATTATTTAAACAGAAGAAAAGAAAAGTTAAGTTTGATTAAGGAATTAATATTGTGTTTCAATGTGTATATGTTATGGGTTTGTGTAGGTCACGCGCTATCTTTTGCCTGATCTATCTGATTTGTCTGTATTATCTGATCTACTAGAGGAGCCATATGTGAGTAATAACTCTATATAGTTATGTTTAACTTTAATTATTTTCTGATGCTATGAAAAGATTAGTTTTCTGAAATGCGATGTTTTGTATGAATGAATGGTTGTCCAAATTTCTAAAATGTATTCGTGGCATCCTTAGCACAAGGCCCTTGCCCGAGGGTAATAATACCGTGGTCGACAAGTACAATGCCCTCGCTCAGGGGTAACAATACCGTGCCTTTTTAAGCAAGGCCCTTGCTCGGGGGTAATAATACCGTGGTCTCATGGCCCTTTCCCGGAGGTAACAATACCGTGACACAAGTATATTACAAATTCCCGGTACTGGAGGTTCCTTATGGAACTAACAAGCAAGATAACACTAATGGATGTACCATGCATGATTAAGCATGAATTCTGATTTTCGTATGAAGCTTGAATAAGAATATGAATATGAACATGTTTCTGATTTGAAATCTGAATATGCATAAGACTCTGTTTCTGATGAGAATCTATTTTTGACATAAATTCTAATTTCTGACTCTGTGATGGATATCATTCATTAAAACCCTTTACTTTGATATTATTCACTGGGCTCTAGCTCACCGTATTATTTATGTATGTAGGTGATTAGGCGCGTGACCAGGCCTAGAGCTTCTGCCTAGACTTTGTTTTGTCAGCCAACCTATGTGCCTCCCGTGGAGGTTCTAGATATGTCAAGTGGTTATGGCTATGTGCATAAAGTTCAAGTTTTGTTTTCTTATTTTTTGTTTATTCTGTATTTAGGGCTAAGTCCCTTTCTATCTAGTCTCTATATATATATGATGATGTGTAAATGTATGTATACAAAGTTTTAAATTTTTCTGTCTCATATAAGTCTGCACAGCTCAATGGATCTTATAAAATTGTTATTTGCTTTCGCAGCCCCTAATTATATGTTATTCTGTTAAGAGGCCTTTGGTAATCCAAGGATTACTGGCCGGCTACGACGCTAAACCTATAGGGACGGGTTTGGGTCGTGACAATTGCTTTGACTATTTTTATGATTTTTAACTTAGTTATTTGCTATTCTAAACAAGATAGTAACTTGGGGATTTTGGGTAAAAAAAACTTAGGGTTTTGACTTTGAAAGCAAAAGAGGGGTTTTCAAAATGGATTCTTGTATATGATTGTGGCTTTATAAAAATGGTTGGATTGTGATAAATGGTGGATTTTATCCATGGAGATTGATTTTCAAAGAAAGGGGGTTTTGCCCTAAATTGTGAGAATTGGGTTTATGTAAAGAGGAAATAGAATTGATATTGGTTTTTTGAAATAGGAACTATGTTGATGATGGTGGTGGAGTTGGAAATGAATTATCACTCCTAATTGGAAAGGTTGGAAAGTATATCTGTGTTGAAAATTAATTATCTGTTTAGAGATATTTGTTTTGGGCTATCGATGGAGGATTGCTATGATTGTTGTAGAAATTCCATGAGAATTAGGTGAATTGAAACTATTTTCTCATTCATTTGTATTGAGCATTGTACATGTTTAACACATTGAAAATGTTGTTGTTTTGAAAAAAAATTGGTAAATACCTTTGTGGACTCGTCTTTTTCTGCGTCCCGCCTTTCGGAAAGGTTTGAAAAGAAGGCCTCACAGTTCGAACTCTCACAGTTCTGAATCTAGTATCACAAGTGCAATGTGAAACTAATAAACAGCAAAGAGTCTAAATTCAGCAAACCTTTTTGAAAAATCGATTTTAAATCAAATAATGCCAAAATTGGACTGTTTTGCCAGATACAGAGTCGCTACCTAAATATTTTATTTTGAAAAAATTTAGGAAACTCTAACTCGTGCCGAATGCCATGTGTCTGTCATCACCAAAGTTGCCTCGGCTCGGGAACTTAGGTACGAGAGGGGAAGGTCATAAAATGAGCACCTCCGCTCACCCGATCAAAGATCGGCCTCTACTAATCATGATGTGTTCTTTTATAAAAATTATGCGCTCTTATTCTGGTTGTTAGCTAACATTACTATGTGACTCACACAAAGTAAGTATAGACTAGTTTTCTCAATTTGGAACAGTTCAACTCATGTTTGTTTGTGAAAATGGTTTGAATTTGCCACCTCAAGTGGGCTTAAAAGATTTGTGGATTTTCCATCAAACATAGTGGGCTTAAAACATGATTTGCCACAACAAAGTGAGCTTAAAACGCACATTCGTTGAATCTTTCCAATTCAAACAACAAGCCTTCATCCACAGGCATTTAAACAGTTAAGTATTTAAGCACATAGCCTCATGGCAAGCATGCTAATCATGGCAACATTCACACTTATGCAAGTATGCTAAAGCGTAAAGACTCATCGAGTATTCCAAGCTAAAACAAAAACTAGTTAGAAAGATGCATGATCCTAACTATGTTAAGTGTCTAATGCAACGCATGCGATAATGCAATTAATAGGCTCGGCTACTAATATGGCATATGATCGATTTAAACAACATGCGATTAAACACGTATTCAAAGAATATATTGAAATGACAATGCGGTTTGAATGATACGTTGAGCCTCGGTGTATGCAAGACAAATGAATGTATGCAAGCATGCGATATACTAATTGAAACATGACCCTAATCTAACCATCAAAAGTGATTAAATAAAAGAGAGAAAGACGTGGGGTTGGAAAACATACACACACGCACTCACACTTATTACAACATTATGCTCTCACGAAGGAGGGTTCGAATGAATAATCTAACTAACTAGCTACGCTAATTAAGCTAACTAATTATTGCAAACCGAATTAATTAACTACTTCTAGCCAATTAATTATTACAAACCGAAAACGAATAACTAGTTAAACTAACTAATTATTGAATAATTAGCTACAACTAATTAATTACAACACAAGCTTGATCTAACACTAATTAAACTAACTAGCTAATCCTGGGAAACGAGGAATGCATGCATGCTTGATCTTTCACTCGAAAAGCCACTGCCTTGCTGTTGCAAGCCTCTGTTTGCACATACGATCACTGAAAATTGTGCCAACTTCCAGAACACCTCTGCTCCATCTCAAGAACACACTGTACAAAAATCATTGATGGCCGACAAGGGGGACAAGGGGCCGGTAGGCTACCAATGGAGGCTGGTCGGCTACCATTGGTGGCCAGTCGGCCACTGTTGGTACACACCTCCATGCTGCAATAGAGAGCAAAACAGTGTATTCTCACAAGTTGTCTGTACTGTTTACCCTCTTTATTATCACACAAGCTCAAAGGAGAGAAACTCTTCGCCCTCAAACCATCAATCAAGCAATTTCCATGCATGATAGCTAAGGGACCAAGTTTGTACAAGTTCAATAAATGCACAAACAAGACCAAAATGACCGCCACCCTATCATGCATGATCAAGGGCAATGGTGGCCAAGGAAAACGACACATTTCATCACTTTGAGTATGAAATGTCCCATTTGCCTTGTGTTCAAATTAACGTCGGATTTGAACACATGTAATGCAACACAAAGAATGCTTATCTTGCGCACTTTTTACTTACCAATTTTGTTTACTCATTTTAATTACCAAACCATTCATTAGTCAATTTGTCCATTTGTGAGCGTCTTCTAAAGTGAAAGAAGTGTCAACCAAGGGGTAGTTTAAGGCATGAGGGAAGCTTCATGCCGTTAGTAATGAACCCTCAAAGGATGATTAAACCATTAAGCATGAGCATCAACCTCAAGCTTAAACAACCTTAAGGTTGAAACAACCTTCAAAACAAATGAAAAAGTGAAGAAATGAGGGAGGTTGCAGAGATTGTATGTGCTGAAATTGAGTGATAAAAGCACTAAAAACATGCAACCAACTCATACCAATGAAGGTTAAAGCCTTAAAACACTAAATTAGTGAAGGAATTAACACTACAACCATGCAAAACAAGACTCAAACAAGCTAACCAGACCAAAATAGAGCTAAAGCAGGTTATTTCATAAGCAAAACATGCTAGACTTGAGCTAAGTAAGCTAGAAAAACATGCTAACATGTAAAGCTAACTAGGCATGCAAACAAGACATGAGGAGGGGAGGCTAACCCCTCCAATTTTGGAATTCAAAACAAGTTTTTGGCCATTGAAAATACTCTAAAATTCAGTGGTTAAAAGGCCCAAAAGAGTTGGTTTGAAAGTGATGAATGAAAAGCATAAAAGCTATACAAGCAAAGAAGCAAGAAGGGTGAATCACCATTAACTAAAAAAAGGCTCAAACCACCACTTTTAAGTTACAAAAACAGAGTTTCTTATGGTCCAAAACCAGCCTCAAATTAGTTTAAAAAGATGAGAAAGCAAGTATACTAAACAAGTGAACAAAGCAAGTAAACTACCTCTTGAAGCAAAGAGCAACTCTAGGCACAAATCTAAGCTAAAACCACTTGCTAGAGCTCAAAACAAGTCTCAAGGAACCTTAGCTCAAAGAGAAGTAACTCTAATCAAGGTGGTGTATGTAAAATTGTAGAGAAAACTAACTACAAGGCATAAAATTGTAGGAGAGAGAAAGAGAAATCTAGAGAGAGAGAAAGAATTTTGCTCTAACATTCTAATCTCTCAAAATGGGAAAGGAACCCCTATATTTATTGAAAAACACCCTCTAAACTTGGAAACATCCCACTATACACGTGTAGGGGTGTAGGGAGATGCAGCTTATTGTGCTAACAGTTGGCCCAGCTGTCAACAAATATCTGGAAAAAGGCATTGGTGGTCGTCGGTCACCACTGGTGGCCGACCGGCCACACCTCTGGCCGACAACCATCATCCATGGCCGACAACCCATGGTGGTGGCCGACAGGTCACCAAAAGGTTCTAGACTAAAAAACAACAAGAATTGGTCCAAAACCAAGCACACAACAGATAAAGTTTCAAGGCTCAAAGGCAGGGTACTCCATTGAGAACTTCGAGCACTCAAGATGAACACACACAAACACAATCATCAAATGCACAAGTGATGACATCCAAGTCTTTAGGACGGTCAAAAATGGAGTATCTACAACCTTGGTGAATCTGGATAAGAGTGTAGTTGTAGTATTATGTTGGCCTGTGTGTCCTTGGTGAAAGTTCAAAAACCCGCGCAGTCAGGTGTTGAGCCTTCCAGTTAATACCGGTAAAAATGACAAACAGGTAGTGTTTGTAGCCTACTTGCAGACACGTCCTAAAGATTCCCAGTATTATATCCACTGCCCTGTTTTCTATTGAAAAGAAATTGATTGCATGGATTGTAATATAAACTTGGCATTGCATGATTTTTGGAAAGAGATATATATGCATTCATCTTATAACCCTATCAAGATAAATACACTGTGTTAGAGTATCTTTACTGGGTTTTGGCTCACCTTATGTGAAAAATCATTTTCAGGTGCTGATGATATGCCTCTGCCAAGGGAATAACTTAAGAGGACTTGGAGCTAAGAGCTTCTATTTTGTCATTGTTGTATCTATTTTATACAAGC